TTTAGATATGCAGATGTTTTTAACATTCTTATCATCATCTGAGATGTCTTTTTATGTCAGTATGATTCATTAAGATTATAGACGTGGGCTCTAAGTAAAATATTTTCCTTTTACTCTATACTTTTGATAGTTTAAGCTTAAGAAATAAAAAGAGGCCAGGCTTGGTGGCTCATACCTGTGATCCTAGCACTTTGGGAGGCTGAGGTGGAAGGATCGCTTGAGGCCAGGAGACCAGCCTGGGCTAACATAGTGAGGCCCTATCTCTAAAAAAAATTTTTTTTTTAATTAGAAGAAAAAGAAATAAATAGAAGGTTATGTTTTCTCTTTAGTAATTTATTATACATTTCTGCAAAAGGAAGTTTATACCTTAATAATAAGGGACAAGTTGAATGAGATAATGTTTATATTACTTTCTAGCTCTAAAGTTCTGGCCCAGGTGCTTTTAAAAAAAAAAAAAAATTAGCAGTAAGGCCAGACATTTTAAAATCAGGTTCTCCATTTGCTTGCTAAGCCCTGATTGTGTTAGCTTGGCACTTGATTCTGCCTTCTTGGCTACTATCTAGGACGTCCTGTTGGCCCATTCTTATTACTGTTGCCAAAGATAATATGTTTATGGGTAAAGATATTAATACTGTGGCCTGGGAAATGGGACTGACTTAACCATAGCTTTAGTTCCCTAAGTATTTGGGTGCCCAAGTTCCTGTTGGGCAGAAACGGGTGTGGGTTTAAAAAGCTATACTAAGAGCTGGGCATTCTCAGTCTGCTTCTAACTTGAAGTCTGACCTTGGGCCCATCACTTTTACCTCTAGACTTTATTTTTTGTTTTGTTTTGTTTTTTATTTTTTTTTTTTAAGAAATTAGGTCTTGCTCTGTTGCCCAGGCTGGAGTGTAGTGGTACAATCAGTAGTGCACTACAACTGCAAATGCCTGGGCTCAAACAGTCCTCCAGCCTCAGCCTCCCAAAGTCACATGGTACCACACCTGTCTGATTTTTTTGTTATCGTTGTTGAGATGAGGTCTTGCTATGTTTCCCAGGCTGGTCTTGAACTCCTGGCTCCAAGCTATCCTCCTACCTCAGTCTCACTAAGGTGCTGGGACTATGGATGTGAGCCACTTACCCAGCCTCAGATTTTTTTAATCTAGGAAGTAAAGCAGTTTCCTTGGATGATCCCTTCCAGTTGTGGTTTTATTATCACAGATCGTAAGATATCTGGCTAGCAGTACCCACCTTAGTAATTATGGCATTCTGGCAAGAATTGGGAATGGTCAACCTCTATGAAACAAGCTTATTGGGCCATCTTAACCTCTTTATTTGTTTGGTTAAAAATACAGCCATTATTATGCAGGGTGTGAACACATTCTGGAATGTGAAGTCTAGAGGTGATACTTAGGTGGCTGAGATTGTACCGTGCAGAAGGCATATTCATGATGACCCACTATGGTAATAACTTTGGAGGGTCAGAACTGGTATTTATTGTTGGTGTTTATAAATCAGTGGCTTCTCAAATGACCTTTCTTTTACAGCTATTATATAAAATCTACAAACAGTGCAGAGCAATAGCCAAAGCAAAGAGAGGAAGGTGGCTTAAGTATGATAAGACCCAGTGAGTTATATTAAAGATACTTCAAAGCCAGGGGAAAAAATATCATTAGTCTTATTTACTGATAGCTTTCATAAGACTAACCTTTCTCATAAGAATTTGTTTTCTTGACTAAGAGAAAGAAGCATGTGACTTGTAGCTGAGTATGCTAAACTTATCATGTGCTTGCAAATGAACTTTTTTTTTTTTCAGAGACAGGGTCTCTCTCTGTCACCTGGGCTTAGAGTGCAGTGGTATCATCATAGTTCACTGCAGCTTTAAACTCCTGAGCTGGGCTCAAGTGATCCTCCTGTGTCAGCCTCCTAAGTAGCTAGAACTATAGGCCCATGCACCACCATTCCCAGCTGATTTTTCCCATTTTTTGTAGAGACAGCCTTGCTTTGTTGCTCAGGCTGGTATCCAACTCTGGCCTCAAGCAATCCTCTTTTTTTTTTTTTGAGACAGAGTCTCACTCTGTTGCCGGGGCTAGAGTGCTGTGGCGTCAACCTAGCAACCTCAAACTCCTGGGCTCAAGCGATCCTCCTGCCTCAGCCTCCCGAGTAGCTGGGACTACAGGCATGCGCCACCATGCCCGGCTAATTTTTTCTATATATTTTTAGTTGTCCGATTAATTTCTTTCTATTTTTAGTAGAGACGGGGTCTCGCTCTTGCTCAGGCTGGTTTCGAACTCCTGAGCTCAAACAATCCGCCCGCCTCGGCCTCCCAGAGTGCTGGGATTACAGGCTTGAGCCACTGATCCCAGCCAGATTATTCTTTAAGGCCTACATCATATCGGTTTACGAGATTCACTTACAGCCTCAAACACAAGTCCTTTGACCCTGCCATTCCTGGCACTGTCCTAGTTTCCTAAGTGAAGTGGCACATTGCATGTACAGTGTTAAATCAAGAGGTTTAACTTTTATGGTGCTAGTTTACATGAGGATTTATATTTTCTTTAATGATAAATGTGTGTGGAATGGATTCCCATTCGTGTGAGTCATGCTGGTGCTGCTAGTGAGTGGCTTTTAGCTGCCTCTCAGAGGTGAAGGGAGTTGCTAATTCCGGAGTGAACAGCAGATGTCGCTGCATCTCCACTTACTAGGGCCTGACTCTTAACTGTTCGGATACGACCAGGTTTTCACAGAGCTCCCAAACCACTAAGTTTAAATTGAGTTTTTATGGCTATGTGGTACTCTAAGATCTCCTCTTTTTAATACAGAGCCCAGATTAAAACTTGAGAATGAACACAGCTTAAGAAGGTTTTCCTCAAAATTCCTTTCACTGTCCTTTTTAGTATATTTGTTCTAGGCTTATGTATTACCTACATTTTCAGGTGGCTAACTAATGAAATGTATTTGCCTTTTCCTATCAACCTTTCAACAGTTATTTAGGAACCTAGACAATTTTTCTTATTTGTTTTTAGCAGGGTTCACACACTTTCCTATCAACCTTTCAACAGTTATTGAGGAGCCTTAGACAATTTTTCTTAACTTGTTTTTAGCAGGGTTCACACACTGAAAAGCTTCTTGGCCTTTCTTTCTGTAGCTCGCTTTTTGAAACCTTCCAGCAGGAATGTAGATGCCGCTGTTCACTCTGAAGTGAGGTACTGAAGATCAAAGGGAACCACTACTATATTTTTCTGTTTGAACTGTTAGCGTTGGCGGTTGAGGAAATCAGAAACTGAACTATGACTAAATGTCCTATGGGGTATCTTTTAAAAAATACTTAGGATTTCAGTGCAGAGAAGTAGGGTTTCCCTGTACAGTCATGCATTGCATAATGACAGTTCAGTCAGTGATGGTGGTGCCATAAAATTATAATGGAACTGAAGAATTTTTATCACCTAGTGCCATTGTAGCTATCAGAACATAGTAGCACAGTTACTTTATTTTTTTAAATAAATTTAGTGTAGCCTAAGTATATGGTGTTTATGAAGTCAACATTAGTGTACGATACTGTCCTAGGCCTTCACATATACTCACCATTCACTCATGCACCCAGAGCAACTTTCAGTCTTGGATGCTCCATTCATGGTAAGTGCCCTATACAGGTATACCCTTTTTTTAAAAAAAAATCTTTTATACTATATTATTACTGCACCTTTTCTGTTTAAATGTGTTTAGATACACAAATACTTAGCATTGTGTTATTGCGCACAGTATTCAGTACAGTAACCTGCTGTACAGGTCTGTAGCATAGGAGCGATGGGTCATACCATATATCCTAGGTGTGTAGTAGGCTATACCATTTAGGTTTATGTAAGTACACTCTGTGATGTTCAGATAACAATGAAATTGCCTAATGATGCATTTCTCAGAACATATCTCTGTCAGTAAGCAGCGCATGACTGTATTACAGAAAAGCAAAGTTGGTATTAAATTGGTTATTTTAGAAAGTTTGAGGCATACCAAATTCTTGGTGTCTTTTGATTGTATATATTGAGAAGATAGCCAGGGCGATATTATCTCCCAGTTTGTCTAGATTAGTGCCAGTTCACACCTTTGTCCTGGTGTAATTATTAATAGCTACCTCCCTCTTTTGCTCTCATTTGTCCTAGTTTGAACAATATATGATCACTTTCAGGACTCTAAATTGTCCCAAAAGAGGGGGGAATTGATAAGTTGCAATTCTAGTAATTATAAGCATTTTTTGACTCAAGAATTATGCCTGCTCTGAATTTTCTGAGTTAAACACATGCAAAATAAAGCAAAAACCACAAAGAGCTGTGAATTCTGGGAACAATAACTTTTAGGTTTCTATCCATTGATCATTGTTCTCTGGGATAATGATTTCCAAATATGGCTGTGTTTCAGCATCAGCTGGTAAGCTTTTTAGAAACACAGTTTCATGGATTTATACCAGAGTTTGAACTTGACATTACCAAAAATGTAGAAATACATGCAATACAAATGTACTGGACAACTTTTTTAGCAAGCTTTTAAAACTAGCATATAGACTGGGTGTGGTGGCTCACGCCTGTAATCCTAGCACTCTGGGAAGCCGAGGTGGGAGGATCGCTCAAGGTCAGGAGTTCGAGACCAGCCTGAGCAAGAGTGAGACCCCCGTCTCTACTAAAAATAGAAATAAATTAGATGGACAACTAAAAATATATATAGAAAAAATTAGCCGGGTATGGTGGCGCATGCCTGTAGTCCTAGCTACCCGGGAGGCTGAGGCAGAAGGATTGCTTGAGCCCAGGAGTTTGAGGTTGCTGTGAGCTAGGCTGACGCCACGGCACTCTAGCCCGGGCAACAGAGCGAGACTCTGTCTCAAAAAAAAAAAAAGCATATAGAAGAACATTTCTAGCATATAGAAGAACATTTCTTTCTGTGGTTTGGATGATATTTGGGGTTTTCAGCGGTGGCTGCCTTGGGCCCTAAGGATATGCTGGCATTGATATGAGTTGACTTTTTGTTTCAGATGTCATCTGGGTGATTCTCAGTGTGGAGGTGGGTGGACTTTTAGGAGTAACGCAGCAGCTGTCATCTTTTGAAACGGAGTTCAACACACAGCCGCATCGCAAGGTAGAAGGAAACTTCAACCCGTTTGCCTCTCCCCAAAAGAACCGACAATCAGATGAAAACAACTTAAAAGACCCTGGGGGTTCCGAGTTCGACTCGATCAGCAAAAACACATGGGCTCCTGCTCCTGACCAAACCGAGCAAGATCAGAATAGACTCTCACAGAACTCTGTAAATCTGTCCCCCAGCAGTCACGCAAACAACTTATCAGTAGTGACTTACAGTAAGGTAGGTGCCCTCGGAGAAGAGGAGAAGGGGTAGGTGGTGGGCCTTGGGAATTGTGATACCTTTTCATGGCAAACCTAGAATCCTAACACTGCCACTCCCAGAGGAGGTTCTTTAAGACTGCTTAGGTCTCCTGCCAACAACAATAATGCAAAAGCCTACCCCTTCTCCCCTCCCCCCTCCCCCCCAATCTTCATGTCCCGTGGATGTTGCTGCATCCACATTTATAATTTACTCCTGTCTCTCTGCTCTGGTTTGGGTATTGAAAGAGCAAAGTTCTTTACCTTTAGCATTTAAAAGAAAAAAAGAATGTCAAAATATCATCTGCCATGCTTCCATTGCAAATGTATACTAAGCTTAGAGCAACAACCACACACATTTGGAAATTGTTCCTACTTTGTTTTTTGGTTTTGGGTGGGTTTTTTGTTTGTTCTTCTGAGGAAAAAGACAAGCTCAATTATTTATCCTAACTATTTTTGGGTTTTTACTTTATTTACCCTGTTTGCATGTTTTCTTGTTGATGTCCTTTGAGTTTATTATAGCCCATTGACTTCCTCACCTACAACCCAGAGTGACTCAAGTTATATTTTGACTTTTCACATGTGGGGAATAAGTGAGAGAATTGTTTGTTGAGTTAACCATGATTTTAAATATTCTGATTGTTGTGAGACACTCCTTTAGGTGTTTGATTTCTTGATCTGTTTCTCTCCATGCTAGTTGATTAAACAGCGTCTTCCATACTCTGCTAAGGTGATGGTGGTTCCTCGTTATTGGTTTTGGTTGGGTGAATAAAGCCCTAATGCTGACAGCTCATTGTTGTAGGTTGTTCATGTGGCGGAGTCCTGTGAGCATTCCTGTGCATTCTTCTCTGATGATTAATGCTGCGCATTAAGCCCGGCATCCCACTTGTATAATCATATAAAGTGTTAAGTCTCTCCTTGCTTCATGTTGGCATTCACCCTCAATTTAAAAAATAAAGTTGATGTTTATTTGAGGGGCAAGTGGCTCTCTGCAAGAATGATATTTTTCTGACCATTAGTTTTTATATGGTCTGGATCAAGAGACAGTTTGAGAAAAGAAATTTGGTGATACGAATCCTCTTTCTCCACATGGTCTAGTCAGAAGGACTTCATTCAGTGGCAGTAGTATAATGAAGGATTGATTTATTGGTTGATTGGATGGTCATTACAAAAAGTTTTCTTGGAGTCCTGTTAGTTGTACAGGTTATAAGAGAAGTAAATTGGCAAGACAGTAAATTCCCTATATTTGAGGAAAAACTTTTTACATTTTAACACTCTAATAAATAAAAGATTTTATTCTAAGCTCCTATTTCTCTAGTTTTTTTCTTATTTCCTCCCTCCCTCCCTTCCTCCCTTCCTCCCCTCCCTTCCTTCCCTCCCTCCCTTCCTCTCTTTCTCCCTTCCTCTCTTTCTCCCTTCCTTCCTTTCCTCTCTTCCTTCCCTTCCTTCCTTCCCTCTCTCCCTTCCTCCAGGGTCTGTGACTGTTCTGGGTTATAAATGAGCCAGCCTTAGGCTATAAGCATGCCTTGGTTAGAAGGGGAACTGGAGGCAGTTGAGTTTAATGGGAAGATGAAAACCATTTGCTCCAATGATTTTTGTAATGGAAGTTTCTTTACCCAACTGAGCTATCTGGCTCAGCCATCACTGTAGTTTTAGGAGAGGGCTGGTGTTCCAGGGCACTGCACTCATCTCCCTGAGTTGTGAACCCATTAGTTGTGTTTCTCTTCTTCAGGGCCTGACACTTTTTAACTGACCCTGTGATGATTGCCTACAATTATCACAGAGCGAGGACAGTGGGCTGGTGTTTTCTGCTTGCTTTAATTAAGGTCCTACCAAGTGCTGCTGCTTTTGGAAGGGCTGGTCTGTGGTAAGGCTATTGAGGTATTTCTTAAAGTTGATGAACTCATGGGATGATACTTAATTGTTTTCATGGACTCGTAGGATCATTTAGAAGTAGCATTTGCAAGAACTACAGAGAAAAGCTTCCCATTAGAGATAATATCCAAGAAGACTATTGACTATAATGCATTGAAAATGTGAAACTTAGAGCCCAAAGAGAAATTGCGGTCTCCTTTTTTCCCCTTAATCTAAGCAGAATCGTAGAAAGCGTTTATATGAAGCATCCAGCAAGTTCTCTGAAAGCATTTCTGCCTGAAGTTGAGTCGGTTCTACCTCTTAGGGCTCCTTAGGAATGGGATAGGGTGTAGACAGTCATCAGTAAGTATTTATTAACACATCTTTGCACTGTTTAGAGCAGTGTGCATTGTACATTAGGAGTCTCGAGAGAGTAACCGCGATCCCTACCCACTAGGAGCTTACAGTACAGTTGAAGAGATGAAACATGCACAAAGCAAATTAGAGAGCAGTTCAGTCAAGATGAAGTATGAATTTGGTCAGTAGAGGACAACACCGTCAAAAATGTATAATTTTAATCCTAGCACTTTGGGAGGCTGAGGCCAGAGGATCACTTGAGGCCAGGGGTTCGAGACCAGACTGAGCAATATAGCGAGAAGATGTCTCTACAAAAAAATTTTTAGGGCCGGGCGTGGTGGCTCACGCCTGTAATCCTA